ATGAGAAGAGATATGTGTTCTCGAGGTGTGAGAAACACGGAATGGGATAGGATAAGTGTGATGAGATCTTTTCTTAGGGTTATTTATGCATGTGCTGCATATGTGGTTGACCGTAGTTTAATTGACTTGGTGTTAATCTATGGTTCTATGTGAACATGTTTCTGAAAGGATCAGTGTGTGTTATCTTATATTATATCGTCATCGCATGTGTATTTGCTTTTGATTGTTTACAGTTAAATATTTGCTTATACTTGGGTGTTTTTTTTTACCTTAGCCCTAGTGAGTACATGGAGCAGGTATGGTATGTGTTTCAAGTTGGAAACACGAGGTAAGGTCTATGATCCAATTTTATTGGCTACCTTGATTATGTAAGTGTTAACTGTGTGTTTTGATTGCTTACAGATTTATTGGGCATCAAGGTGGAGATTTGTTGGGTTTTTGATACTCAATAAATCCCGAGCTATGATGTTAACATGAGTTAATATTATTTCATAGGCATAAGCCGATGAATAAAATAAGTCCAACAACCAAGTCCATGAGCTACACCCGGCCCAATTGTATTCCTTCTGGATGGCTTGAATCTTGGCCCGTTTACCTCTTTAATGGCCCAACTTAAAGCCTAACCCTAGAGTATATATATGGATATGACCCTAGCCTCTCTCTTGTGATGTTTTGTGAGACTTTGTGTGAAAAAAGGAGAATCCCGACTGCCCTCTCGGTGAGTGAAAAAAAGCCCCTAGAAGTGTCCAAAACACCTGTTTACTTTGTGTAATAGGTGGTTCCTTCATAGTATACCTTTGCGGTGTCTTCTCCTAGCCTTTGTGGCCACAAATCATCATCTTTTTTTGTCCTACATTGGTAAGATTGAAATAGCAACCGAGGTGAATTATATTGGTTGTGGTTTGGAGCTGGTTGGATTGGTTGTTGGTAGAGAAAGGCACGTTGAACTGAGCCTGGAAAACCACCGTTTGAAAATCTTTCAAAAGAGCTTCCGCAACACAATGGTTTATATTTTGAAACCTTGCGAACCACTAACCCGTCCATCATGAGAATCTATGAAAATTCCAAATTGTTGGTGAAAAGAAACATAATCTGGACGTAGCCTAAACTACAACATATGTTATGTCTTGGATGCTGCATCATTCTCTAACTGAATTCATTTAAGCCACAAATTCTGCCTTGTTAGGTAGCTCAACTGGCATGCTCGCTCTAAAATTAACCATTAAGAACTCACAAGATCATTTTGAGAATGTGCTTGGAACCAATGAGTCATCAACCAACTTAAAACAAGAAGAAAGCCCAAACGCAAAGGAAAACCCAATAGTTCACATGGGCTTGCCCACATTCATGGAGCCCCCTTAAAAAGATGCATTTATTGGAATATCCCTGGCATATAGCCTAATCAATATATGTAATTCCCCCCCCCCCCCCCCCGCCACACCATTCTTTCAACACAGTACAAACAATATCATTCCATTGTTTTCTATATCAGAAAAAGAATCCTCATCTCAAATTTCCATCAAAAGCCATAAAAAATCAAGATGATTAGTTCCAGAAAACTCATCAAGATGGCAAGGAAGTGGCAAAAGCTGGATGCCATTGAAAGAAAATGGATAACTATCCCAGGGAAGAATGACTACGAGGTAGCTAGGACCAGTAGCCATTCATCTAATTCTTTGGCTCAAAAAGGCCATTTTTATTGTGTATACATCTGATAAAAAGCGATATGCTTTCCCCATAACTTCTCTCAATAATTAAATATTGAGGGAGCTACTCATAATGTCAGAAGAAGAGTTTGGACTACCAAGTGATAGACCAATAACATTGCCTCGTGACACCGTATTTATGGATTATGCGATTTCTTTGATCCAAATTAAGGCGACCAAAGAAGTTGAGAAAGCTTTGCTTATGTCCATGGCGGCTATAGATGTTCATCATCTTATCATGTAAGTCAGCAAGAGACAACACAACATTCTTTGTTATGTAGTTGTTGAGTATGTAATTATTGCTTCAATATGAATGCATAAAAAAAAATCTTTTGTTTCATAGACTTCTGGAATTTGGGAAGTGTTTATAAACGGTTCAAATTATAAATGGATAAAAATGAGTATTGAATAAGTAGGTAGTACTCATTGGTCCGAGGTGTACGATAAAACATGGCTTGAGTATGAGCATAACCAAACATAGGCTGAAAAATAGGTATTTATATGGGTTTTCTGTTGCAAGAATTAACATTTTTTGCCAGTAACATTATCATCAACGCAATCATTCCCCCCTACAGAAGTTGAATGACACCTTTAGTCCTAGAGAAAAAAAGGAGATTTTCATGGCTTTGGAATTAATTCCGTTTTTTCCAAGTCTAGGCTCCTTACTTGTATTGGGAAAGGGTAGCGCCACCATTATTTTGGTTTAAATATTTTTATCAAAAGTTCATATGGAAACTTGTTGAATTTGATTAATGACTTTAATTTATCTTAAACATTAAATTGAAATTTCATTTTATAGGATTATGTGATCTGTTTATAAAAATGAATTTGCACATACATAATAATACAAAATTTATTTGCTTATCATAGATAGATATCTCTGATCAATCATCTATTAGGGAAATTGAGTCAAATAATACTATAACGATGCAAATGAAATATTGGTACGCTTTTCTAGACTTTTTCCATGCCACTGTCCCTTTAATTAGGGGAAAAAAATACACTTTTTGAATAATGTCATACAAGTTTATGCTTTTAACTCGACTTAGCAATTATCCATAAACGTGGTCAAATAAATATTCAATAAAAAATATAAAAATATGATATCCCTATTCGCAACCAAGAGGAAGTATTTATGATCAAATATATATCGATTAAAATATAAAATTATTATGTCTAAACTCCAAGTCTACTTAAGGCACTTGAGGTCAAGTAAAAATTGTTTTCAATAAGCTACAAACGTACGGATGAATCACGAGGGGAAAGGAAAGGGAAATAAAGTGCTAATATTACTTATGAATTTGTCAAGTTTTTTTAATAATACTCGTAATATTTGTTGGATTACACAACAAACATAATTGGACTACCCTATTCAATTAAGAATAAGACTTCTTGTACATTGTTTGCTTGACATGGAGTTTGACGTTCCATTCTTTTCAAATGTTTTCAAAAATGGAGTTGACAGGAAATTGTGTTTTTTTTTTAAAAAAACTATTCATGTGATGTCGTCACGTGGCATAATGTAAAATTTAATGTCAAACTTAATGTACCTGTAGAATGATTCCTCAATTAAACTATATGTACATTGTCCTTGACAATGTGGTTGACATTGTCCCCTATATGGAAGAAATCTGTGTAGTGAGATGATAGATACGTTCAAAATCAAGAATATAGATCTTGCCACATGAAATAGTGCAAAAGTTAATATAAAGGAAAATGTAAATGTAGCAAGATTCCTGACCTATTAGGATTGTCAACATAGAAATCTGCTTTCGATTTATTTTTTTTTTAAATAAAAAGTCAAGTTGCTTGTTTGAATATTTTCCAAGATGTCATAACTGTTGACCTCATATTCTTTTTTTAACTTTTTTCACACCATTTTCACACCTTGTATGTTCCTGGTGCTGTGGAAATTAATAGCACAAACAATGAACACTTCTAAACTACTACGTTTGAATTTTAAGCAAACAACTTGAATCACAATACATCCCATGAATTATATATTTTATGTATGAAAAAATTTGTCAAACAAGTTGCATGTAATGTATATGATTCACATTTTTCGGATAAATATTTCTAGGAATGAAGGCTGAGGGAGACGCTGAAGCTGAAAGTCTTAATTGGCAGCTTATGCCATGGAAACATAAATGATTCTTTTCATTCTATAATTCAAATACAGTTAGCTGCTGCAATTAATTATAATTTCCTTTTATTGGCTGCATATTGCTATCACCACTCACCTGTCAATAATTGTTATTCATCCCCACAATCCCAATTGCTTGCTTGCTCGCTCATTTAGGTTTATCAGATTAGAATGCATAATGAACTCATTATTAAATTATAATGAATAAGATAAACAACATTCTTTATATTTAAAATAAAAGAATATTATCAATTTAATCCATCATAATATTATTTACTTAATTATAATTTTATATTAAGGTTCTTATACGATATAATTTGATGCATCGAACGTGTTAAGAAAATAAATCTCATATCGGTTAAATATCGAAATATTGACCAACTTAAATAGATCTTGAGCCACTTCTCTTAATAAGATTGACCTTATTAAGATAGACCTCAAATCTTAACATGATATCAGAGCTCAGTAAGCTCCACGAGCTATTCGATTTGATTAAATCTCAAAAATGATCACACAGATTTCAAAATTGATCTGTTCAAAAAGAGCCACCATTTTGCGGGATATGTTAAGGGAATAAATCCCACATCGATTAAATATTGAAATATTGATCAATTTAAATAGATCTTGAACTATTCCTTTTAATAAGGTTGATCTTATTAAGATGGACTCCAAATCTTAACAGAACGCACCCTTAAGTCAAAGTCTCAAATATCTCCACTACGTTTAAAAGAAAACTTCTTTATATGAGGGACGGAGATTTAAATTTATATATATTGCGAGTTGGGGTAAGGTCGCGCCCCTCAACATTAAAATAATGCTATTAGTCAGCAATTGTAATAAATGTTGCAGTGTTATCTCAAAATTTTGACGATTTTTCCTAGATGAAATATAATTTCGTTGACTGGATGGAAGTATTGCTTTTCCATCCTACCTAACAAATAAAGCATTAGTTAAGCACCCCAAGGATGACCATTCGAATAAAAGGGATGCGACTTCCACGCACATTCATGGAAGGAAAAAGATGGTAAGCGTAAAGCAGCCAACCAATTTGGTCAAACTGTTCACATTTTCTGAAAATCAGTCATTAGCACTTTGTAAACAAGCGAAGACCTGGTCACCATATACATTCACTGTCTGCTGGCTTTTCCTATAGCTATTAACAGTCACCTTGGTGTTAAAAATGGTACCATGCACTATATGACATTTTAGTTACAACATCTATAAATATAGTCCAGTACTTAGCATAATTTGTTAGGAAGATCAAAACTCAAAAGATATTTTATCGAAAAGCTTAGTGGGATAATCAAAAATGGGGGACATCGATGGAGTAAACTCTGCTCCATTATCACCTAGGCCAGCATCGGTGGCTCCAACGCCGCCTATAGCCCAAACTCCGTCCATAATAATATCAGCTCCTCCTTCGCAATTCCATTCCCCATCTTTGACCCGCTCGCCACTCCTAACTCCCGGTGGCACTGCGAGGAAAACACCAAGATTTCGAACTCCCCGGTTCATTACTCCCTTGGGAAGCCCTATAAGGAAGGCCCTGAAACTCACAAAGCTCGACCCACAGGATGCTTGGCTTCCAATTACTGAGTCCAGAAATGGAAATGCATACTATGCAGCTTATCATACCTTGTGTTCTGGTATTGGAATTCAGGCCCTTGTTCTCCCTGTCGCATTCACCATTCTTGGATGGTAATTATAAATTCATATTAATATATCCATGAATTATGAGTATATATATATATATAAATGATACTATGATAGCATCTTTCTGATTGCAGGACGTGGGGTGTGATTTGCTTGACCCTGGCATTTATATGGCAGCTGTACACACTATATTTACTTGTGCAACTCCATGAATCACAAGAAAATGGTATTCGATACAGTAGATACATGCAATTAGCAAGTGCAACTTTTGGTGAAAAACTCTCCAAATTCTTGGCTGCGTTTCCAATCATGTATCTATCAGGGGGTACATGCGTGGCTCTGATTGTGATCGGAGGCTCAACCTCTAAGATGTTCTATCAGACTCTGTGTGGAGCCACATGCACCTCTAAGCCATTGACCACCGTGGAGTGGTACCTAGTGTTTACCTGTGCAGCGGTGCTTCTGTCTCAGTTGCCAAACATGAACTCAATTGCTGGTGTGTCTCTGATCGGGGCTGTTACTGCCGTCGGTTATTGCATCATGATATGGCTAGTGTCCGTTGCAGAGGGCAGGCTACCTAATGTGTCGTACAATCCAGTGAGATCTGGCACGGAAATCGCAAACATTTTTGATGTTCTGAATGCACTTGGGATCATTTCTTTTGCTTTCAGAGGCCATAATCTAATTCTTGAAATCCAGGTGAAATTTCCCAATAATTGATATGCTTTCAATTTATTAGAACTATGCAATGCTTTGATTTTTAACGTCAATTTAATCCGCTGAATATGTAATATAATTCAAATCATATCATTAGGTTCTTTTATACACTCTTAAAATCTTCAAAAATCAGTACCTGAAGTCTACTGTTGCACATTACATTGAACGGACTTTCCTCTTCAGAAAAATGGAAAAAGAAAACTGTTAGTGCTTTGACTTTGACGAACCTAACCTGGCGTGTGAGAGTATAAGTTAAGCAAATATTAGTGATAAATTTGACTTTTTAATATAAACCTTTATATTTTCTATAATTTTGAATGGAAGGATAGGATGTGACACTAGCTAGCAGAAAATCAAGAAATTTCTAAATGTCTTTCAACAATTTTGACTATTACAGGCTACCATGCCTTCTGATGAGAAGCATCCCTCGAGCGTGCCAATGTGGAGAGGTNATGTCTTTCAACAATTTTGACTATTACAGGCTACCATGCCTTCTGATGAGAAGCATCCCTCGAGCGTGCCAATGTGGAGAGGTGTAAAAGGTGCATATACGATCGTAGCACTGTGTTTATTCCCACTTGCTATTGCGGGCTATTGGGCTTATGGTCACATGGTAATAAAGTTCATATAGTTGATTCGACAAACTTTAAACTCATTAATTAAAATCTTTAGTTCATTGACTGATTTTTTCATATTTGACAGATTCCAGCCAACGGCGGCATGCTTACAGCGTTGTACGCGTTTCACAGCCAAGATGTTGCACGGTCGGTACTAGGGTTGATAAGTTTCTTCGTCATAGTTAATGCAGTGAGCTCATTCCAAATTTACGGTATGCCAATGTTTGACGACATGGAATCAGCTTACACTAAGAGGTCTAAGAAGCCATGCCCGTGGTGGCTCCGAGCAATCATCAGAGCAATGTTTGGATATGGGTGCTTCTTTGTTGCAGTGGCAATTCCATTCCTGGGTAGTGTAGCTGGTTTAATAGGAGGAATTGCATTACCGGTGACTTTGGCTTACCCATGTTTCATGTGGCTTAAGATGAAGAAACCGAGAATGTATAGTCCAGTATGGTGGCTTAACTGGGGATTGGGCCTTCTTGGAATGGGATTGAGTGGAATTTTAATTGCTGCTGGTCTCTACGTTGTGATAGACACTGGTATTCAAGTTAGCTTCTTTAAGCCTCACTAATAAATCGTGGAATCAAAATTCAAATTCAGTAAGGAATTTAGGGTTAGAAGTAGAAATAAATGGATAAAATGTATGTGACCCTTGTCTCTATTATTAATTTTTTATTGATCTTGTTTTCGAGGGAGAATGTAAACTTGTACGAGTTAGTAATAGGTGTAATGCGAAGAAATTCCAGTATATTTGTTACATGTAACTTTGGTTTGTTGTAGTTAAATGTGAACTGTGCAAAAGAAAATGAA